CTCTATCTGATGTCTTCAGGTGAGGATAAAAAAAAAAATCAATGGAAAAATATCCTCAGTGAGGATTAGCAACAGCAACAAAACAAAAAACAATTTTAGCGACAAGACCAATAGATATTTGAGTCCTTGACATAAGGCATTTGGGTGAAGTCCAGCTGCCAGCCGTTTGCTAGGGAAGCCCCTTTTCTTTGTGGTGATTCCCCTGCAGGAGGAGGCTGTCTGGACCCCAGGGTTACTACAGGCCAGAGGACAGCCTGGAGTATTGTCTCACAGTTCCTGCAGCCCTTTCGCAGTGAACAGCCGTGAACAGAATTGTATTCGCTGGTCTCTACCAAGTGGTAGGAGTCATGCAAGCCTTTAATAACTTTCCACTGAGCCCTGGCCGGTTTGGCTCAGCGGTTGGAGCGTTGGCCTGAGGACCAGAGAGTCCTGGGTTTGGTTCCTGCTAGAGGCACATACAAAAAATAATAATAATAACTTTCCATCGAATATTTTGGGGAGGATGTATGGGGCCTTCCTTCTGATACCACCCCTTTTGTCTTCGGCACGTCCGTGTCAGTCTCCTCTTTTGTGTACAGGGCTGAAGGTTATTCAGATTTACCAAGGGTACCAAGGCCCCTAATGCAGAGCTTTCTGCGGTGGCTGCCGTCTTAGCAGTGTGACCAGTGAACTTATTTCCTAATGTAATCTCATCTGTGTCCTTTTGATGCCTCCAACAGTGTATCACTACTGTTTCCTTGGGCAATTATACTGCTTCAAGGAACTTTAAAATACATCTTCCATGTTTTATTGGCCTTGGTTTGGTATTTAAGTGCCCCCTTTTCCCCAATAGCTGCGTGGGCATGCAGTATGAAGAATGCACGTTCGGAGCCGGGATATCAATTCCGTCTTTTTTGTTTCCCCAGTTCTGAGTGTCCTGTGAGAGCTGCTCATCCTGCCGGCTGTGCGGTGGTTCTGGGGGTGCAGGTTGGGCCTCTACTTTATTCAGGGCGATGGTGGCAGAACCAGTATAATGAATCACTTGTCTCATCAGACCTCTTCCATCCAAAAACCAAACCTGTCTGCATTTAGAAGGAGCGGGTCCTTGAGATCTGGTCTGCTTGCTAAGGACCTAACAGCAGTTATGTCCAATTTACTTTTTTAGGTTAATCCTCACCCAAGGATATATTTCCATTAACTTTTAGATAGACTGGAAGGGAGGGAGTGGGAGTGAGAGAGAGAGAAACATCAATGTGAGAGATGCTTTGATTGGCTGCCTCCCACACGACCCAGCTGGGGCCAGGACTGAACCTGCAACCCAGGTCCATGCCCTTGACTGGGAATCAAACCTGAGACCCTGAGGTCCATGGGCTGACACTCGAGCTGAGCCAAACTCGCCAGGGCAGTTCTGTGTTTGAGTTGGATGCAGGGTTAGGGCAGCTGGACTCAGGACTGCGCAGTTCTGTATTTTCACTCGAGGGTTCTCAGTGAAGGACACTGTTGGTAAGCCGAAGGGGCCCTGGGCGTTCGACAAGGGTCCTGTCTGGTGAGAGGTGTATGCAGTAATTTCTTATCCTGGGGATATTTTAAAAGCCCCCTTTAAGAGCAGGGCAGCTGTGATGGACACCCTGAGACAGTGGGGTCAGCCTCAGGCTACTGTATCAGTTCTGAGAAGTAGCCAGCAGGTCTTTGGGGAGGTCCCAAGACCTGTGTCCAAACCGCTCACGATGATCTCGCCGTCAGTGACATACATTCGAAAGGGTTTCAAAGGCTCGCAAGCAGCAGGAGTTTGAGTCAAGGCTTCCTTCAGGCCTTGGAAGGCCCCTTGCGGATCCTTTCCATGTGATTTGTTTGCGTTATTTTAGGGTCTCATAAAAGTGTTGGGCTTTTTCTCCACATCTTGGGATCCGTAGTCCACAGTACCCTGTCACCCTAGAAAGGCCAGTAGCTGTCTTGGGTGGTGGGCTCCACACTGGTTTGCTGAGCCCCCCCCCCCCTTTTTTTTTTATCCTCACCCGAGGTCATTTTTCCATTTTTTGTTCAGGTAGAGTGGGAGGGAGAGAGAGGAAGAGAGAGAGAGAGAGAAACATCGATGTGAAAGGGACACATCGAGTGGCTGCCACCCGCACGACCGACCAGGGCTGGGGACAAACTGCAACCGAGGTACGTGCCCTTAGCGGGAACCGAACCCGGGTCTCTCTGACCGCAGGCCGACGCTCTAACCGCTGAGCCAAACCGGCCAGGGCTGCTGAGCCCTTTTTTACGTCTCTATTCCCATCTGACTTAAACCTCCTTTGCCTCCATCCCCCCTTCCCTAGACTGCTGATGGAGGTCTTACACTTTCCGGGTGCACTCCTATTCTGTTTAGGTGACAATACCATCCATTACTGACCTATTTTTCCTGCCAAAGACCCTGCTGGAGCAAGAAAGGCAGTATTTCTAGTTCCTCCAGCTGCTGTAAAGACGAGACCCTTCTAGGTTCTTGCAGGATTCTCATTCCCTCAGAGAAACTTGCTACCCAATGTATTTGTCTACTGGCATGTCTGAACAGCTGCTACTCCTGTCGACCCCCCAGTCTCACGGGTCCTGTGGAGTCACACAGAGCAGATGCTTGGATCGAGGGGGCCACCCTTCCTTTGTCTACATCTTAGCAGGTCATCTACGAGCTCAGCGGGACAAAGCCAACGCTGCCTGCCACACCTGTCAGCCTTCTCAAGGTGTTTAACAGATTGTCTTTGGATCTGAAAGTGAGGTATCAGAGCCCGAAGTACATACATGAAGAAGGTCTCTTTACCCCATTCATTTCATAATTGGCACAAAGCCACCCCCCTAATTAATGGGGTGGAGTAACGAGCCCTAATCAGCCTGACAAATAACATTAAGATCTGAGCTTCAATTTGTTGAACCAGGGTGTCTGGCCAGTGCCTTTTCTGATGTTTGTGTAAACAAGCGAGGGAAGGGAACCCCTCCCCCAGCCCAGGGTAGCAGCTGAGACACTCTGGGGGTAAGGATCACATCCTACTGTTTGGCCCACACATACCCAAGTCCCTCCCCTGCAAGCCTACAACTGCACAAATGCCACACGAGTCGCCCGGGGCGTAGAGGTGCACAGATCGGTAGTTGACTAATGATTTAAACCTGTTTTCCTTCCAGCCAAGCTCCAGAGGCAGAAAACTAAAAATTTTATGAAGTGGGCCCAAGTGTGCAGCTTATGGGGAGGGGCCATTACCCCCTGGCCACCTGGCTCCCCCGGATGTGCCTCGGTTTCTCTCCCAGACACATAAAACAACTGGAAGGGTCGAAGCGCTGAGCGACCAACTCTGATGTGTGCATCTCCAGAGAAGCCAGTCAGTTAATTACAAGTGAAATGAGGCACCTGCACTTCTCAGGGTTCAACCCCAGATACCTCCACAAGGCCATTTCTCTCCTAAGGACATTCAAGACTGAACTGAAGGGGGGAACTGCCTGTTTGGGAGCTCCTGCAAGCCCAAACACTCCTTTGGTTTTACTTTCAATTTTCTGCCCCAGGGAACAGGCCCAGGACTTCTCGCTAATCTTCATTATGCTGTAATTCCCCTAAACCCCTGGAGCAAAACAGAAAAAGAAATCCGCAGAGGGGCAGAACTCACTGCAATCCATCACTGGGAATCAAAGATGATCAGGCAGGGATCCAAGTCAGATCCCCGTACTAACTGGAGTCACCGCACCAGAAAAGATGTTACTGGAGAGTTCCGAGTTGGAATGGGGCGGGGGTGGGGGGCTCTCCCCTCCTGGACTCGTCAGTCTTGTGAGAAGGAATTTAGATGAGTGGCAGATAGGAATGATGAAGCAAAAAGCAAGCACATTTATTAAGAATGCTCTGGGCGCAAAGCGTAAGTGGGCAACCCAGCTAGTCTGAGCACCCCACCTGGTGGGGGTTCAATGGGTTTTGTACCTTTCCCCTTATAGGTTTCAATGTTCCCCTGCTGGATATCTTGGGTGGGTAGCAGACTAGGTTTCAAAGTTCCCTCCTACATTTTTGTGGCTTATCTTGGGATGTTTGTATACACATCTGGTCATCTTGTTTGGCAAGTTCTAAGACAGCTGACTCCTTTGTTCAGTGGGTGGGAAAAAGTCTGCCTTCTTTCCCCCTCCCCCCTTCAACTCCAGCAGCTATCTATTCTGCCTAAGAACTTTCCTCTGCAGTATCTATGTCCATGTTCCCTGCACCTGACCACTGAGACCATGCTTCAAGGTTTTAGGTCACTATAAGGTAACAGACAGACCCCACAGTGCAGAATGCTTAAAACACTAATGATATGCATTTCTTGCTCACTAAAAGCCAAAACGAGAGTTTGTTATCGGCAGGTTGTTTTCTCCATGCAGCGACTCATTCCTTACAGCCGGTGGATTTGCCATCCCTAGAGCCTGGTCATCGACAGCACCCAGCAGGGGAAGGAGACAGAGGGTGGGAGTCCACCAGCTGGAACTCGGATCCGGGGTTCACCTGCTACGAGGCTGGTAGGTGCAGCTGTGTGACCAATGCAAACAGATGGCATGGTAGTGGCCTCCATCACCCCTCAGGCCCTTCTCTCTGACCCCACCAGCCTCTGCAGGCGAGGTCCCAGCAGCACCTCTGCCCTCCCAGCTCAGCGCCGGCTGGCCCCCTGCACTTCTTCCCAGGTGGGCGGTCTCCCCCCCCAGCAGTGCTGGGAGCAGTCCCTACGCAGAACCCGCGGCAGTCCCTGCTCTCCTGACTTGACGGGCTGCTGTCTGTAGCGGGCGGCACCCCAGGACCGTGACTGACACCTGGAAACAGGGTCAGTTATCTGACCTGACTGGGTTGCAGGGATGACCTTGCTGCCAGGGGACCCTGGAAGTTCACAGAACTCAGTGGCAAGAGGACTGCTTCACATCTCACCTGGGCGAGAAGGCAGGACGGGGAGCCTGACCAGCTGCCACCTGTCACCATGGCAGGGACATGACAGCCACAAAAGCAATCAGCTCAAGGCGCAGGCACAAAACCAGACAGCACCTTGGGCAGCCAGAAAAGAACCTCTTTAATGTCCTGTAGCTGTGAGAACGAAACTGAAAACATAACCCAGAATTTGATCCTGCAGGCGGCATTGGCGCGCCCTCTCGTATAAATTGTGGGGTGTCAACTTGGGAAAAGTGGGGCCCTGAGAACAGTAGAGGGGACATTTGGGTGGACTTCGGCGAATCAGACTCCTGAACTGAAGGAACACGTGTGTGGGTGGACATGCCATCAACTGTCCAGCCAGGCAGTGTCCTCCTGACATCTGCCAGGCACCCCCATGAGCCAGCACCTCCCAGCTCAGAACAGGACCCACCTCCGCCTCCCAGATGGGCAGGGGGCTCACAGAAGGGCCACCCGTCACCTACGTGGGTAGGACCTCAGGGCACACAAGGGCACAAGCTCACAGAGGGCAGGAAGCTCTCCTCCAGCCGCCGAGCCTCCCTCTTCTCTATCAGACAGGCCTGACTGGCATGTCCGAGCTCAGAGTATAGCCAGAGACCGCAAAGGGCCCAGCGTCGGCGGTGCCCCCTCTTCCTCTGGGGCCTGGGGGCAGCGTTGCAATCCCAGGGCGGGAATTAGAAGGAAAACATCCTGCTCAGCAAGGAGCCCCTCCCTCTAGAGGGAAGATAACTGTAGGGCTGCGAACCCTTAACCTGTTGAGCCCCGACCAGGGATGGAGCTGGTGGCCTCTCGGTGCAGAAGATAGCTGCTCCACTCACGGGGCCACCGGCCAGGACTCCCCTGGTCCTGCTTTGAGGCCCTTTGTGACGTGCCCCACCTCCCTCCCCAAGAGGTTTTTCGTGGGGGGGAGCCACTTCCAAGACGTGAGGTCACATGAGCGCACCCTCTTCCAGGTGAACCCTTCCCGCACCCTGCAGGTGTGGGAGCCCAGTGGAGAGCATGGCGGTGGCCTTGGAGCCGGCTGGCAGGGAAGGGCCTGGAAGGCACGCTGGCACCGCCGTCTCGCTGCGGGACCTTGGCGTCTCTCAGCCTCAGTTTCCCTACCTGGAAACAGGCTGTGCTGCCAACTAGACTGCAGAAGTGGGTGGAAGCGCGGAGACCGCCCACCAAGCCCACCTTCCCTGTCCTTCCTCAGGCCCCGCGGACCTCCCGGGCATCCTGCCGTGCGTGGGCATGGCTCTCGCTGAGATGGGCGTCCTGCGGTCTGTCCAGCAGCTTGAGGAATAACTGAGGGAGGCCTGGCCTCGCCTGGAGCAGGTCCTGAGTAGAAAAGGCACATGACTGGGCAAGTCAGGAAATCCAGTGAGATGGGACAGAACACAGGGTCTTCGGGCAGCCTGCTGAAGGGGTCGGGGGGCTGCCCCCCTCTAGAGCAAGGGCTCATGGCACAGGTCAGGGAGACGCTGAGATGCCAGACACGGGGTGGGGGGGGAGCACCAGAGGCAGGCCAGCCGTGGCAAACCGGCTGTGCTGGCTGAGGGCTCCGAGCCAGGGTCTGCTGGTCCCCAGCCTGCCCGTCAGGCCACTACTGCAGCCTGAGGGCAGCCGGGTGGCGGAGGCCAGGTCACACCCACAGGAACTGGGGACAGGCTGTCCCTGGGTCCAAGGCTGCACAACTCACCCAGCCCCGCCCCAGACCCTGAGCAGGTCCTGGATCATTGAATACATTTTGTTCACATGCTGGCCCAGGTACAGTGAGCCACCTGCTGCAAGAACGCGGGCTCAGGCCGGGGCAGTGGGGACAGAGACAAGTCCTTTCTGGTGCTCCCGGCCCCCTGCTCCACACCGTTCGTCCTAGAGCCCCGTGTAAGGCACCCTCACCCCACAGGCTGCAGAGGGACACGCACCAGCTTCTGAGCCACTGGAGTTTCCTAACAGAGTCTGTGCTTCAGCTTGGGGAGACGTGTGTGAGTGGGTAGGGATGGCCAGGGAGGGAGGGTGGGAGGAAGACCACCCACTAGGCTGGCCTGTCTGTCCACTCCCAGGCCTGCAAGGGACCCAGCCACTGAGCCCACCTCCAGCCAGCTATCCCCTTCTGGCCCGAGACTCCCAGCCGGTGGGGGCCCGGGGGCGTCCCTGTCCCTCACAGTCACACCACGCAGAGTTGGGGGCACAGTGGGAAGGTTGCCCTCAGCATCCTGGGACGTCCTGGAGCCCAGAGTGGGCGTGTGCAGTGCTGTTCCTGGCACTGAGCGCCGAGGTGTCCGTGTACAGATGTCTGGGGAGCCCCTGAGCTGCCGCAGAGGTGCTGGGGAGTTGGTGCTGAGACCGGGAACAGAGGTGAGTAGCAATGGCCGAGGCCTGGAGGGGTCATGTCCCTTTCAGGGAATCTGTTCACTGGTCTCAGCCCCAGAGGGACTCTGACCCCTGGGTTCCCCTCCAGCCCCACAGAGGAGCAGGTGTAGGTTTGACCTGTGGGGAGCAGGGTAGTGGAAGGCAGGATTTTGAGCCCGAACCAGCCCCGAAAAGGAAGCCCACAGAGAGGTTGGGTACTGAGCAAAGGTGCTAGGGTATGTCTCCTGGGCCATGAGCAGCAGGGGCCCAGGGACCGCAGACAGGCCACAGGCCACGCCCAGCCACCAGCTCACCACGGAAGATGCCCTGCGTCTGGTGGCCACAAATGTCTCATTCTTTGGGTGGTGAGGATGGTTTTTGAAGACAGCCTGCCTCCCTCCCATCTCAGCCCCAAAGGGTCCTTTCTGAGAAGGCTCACCCACACGGCGGCCAAGGGGCCAGGGAGGCGGGGCCCTGTGATGCTGCAGATTGGGGGCCGGCCACGGGCACCCTGGTTCCCTGCAGAGCCGGCCAGGGAAGGCAGCTGGAGGAAGAGAAGGGCCGCGCTGGCAGCAGTGTCTTGGCGCTGTGCCCCTCAGGAGTTGGCACAGTTTCTTATTGCTCCTCTGGACTCAGGACCAGTCTCCTCATCTGCAAGTAGGACACGGACGCAGAGGCCACGGGGGTGGAGGGTGCCAAGGCAGCCCCTGCCAATCAGAGCAGGGACTGGAACTGGGACCCGGACTGGCCACAGGGACACCCCGCCCATGTTCCAGCCCCGGCCGCAGGCCCTCGCAGGCTGCACAGTCCTCTGGGGTGCTGGCTGGTGTCCGCAGGGCTGAGCTGCCCGGCCGCCCTGGCCACAGTTGTAGGACCTCTGCATCCTTGGCCAGCAACCTCCAGGGGCCGCAGGTGGGCATCCTGACGAAAATCTCGGTGCCAGCCCCAGGGGACCGGGTTTCCTGAGAGCACGCGAGGGCCGGGCTGTGAAGGAGGGGTGCAGGGGCACCCCGCCCTGCACACCAGGCTCACGGCTGCAGGCGCTCCAGGTACTGCGGCAGGGGGTTCTCCTTGACGTACTTCTGGATGTACCAGCACGTGAGGTGGGCCTTCAGATCCTCCTCCACCACGAAGTCCAGGGCAGCCTGGCAGCGGGCAGAGAGAGCGGTCAGGACCTGAGCCCGCACCCTGGGCTCACGGTGGCCCGACCCCCACCCCCAGCCGTTCCCTCCGAATTGGGAGCTGGCTGCCCATGGCCACCTGTTCTTTTTTTTTTGGACTGTCCTTTATTTATTTTTGTATATGCCCCTAGCGAGAACCGAACCCGGGACTCTCTGATCCGCAGGCCGACGCTCCAACCACTGAGCCAAACCAGCCAGGGCTGGCCACCTGTTCTATCTACCCAATTGGCAATGGAGAAAGGGGGTGCTGTCACCACCCCGTATTTCAGCTGGGGAAACTGAAGCAGAAAGTGTTGGAAAACTGCCTGAAGAACATGTCATGGAAGAGAATAAACCAGGGCTGGATCCTGAGCGCCTGCCCAAACTGCCCAGGAGGCGGCCATAGCCAGAGGGACCTGGGCAGGGGCTGCGCCTGGCGAATCCCGCCCACTCCCCGTCCTGTCTGTCCCACGCCTGTCCCCAGGCTGGTCTCCACAGCTGCCCCCCAGCCTCGGGGCCCGCGCCCACCCTTTCCCATATCCTTCACACGGCAGCTTGTGTGAGGCCTCCTCCTGGAACCTTCTCCTGTGGGCTGGGTCAGGGCGCCTCAGGCTCTCACCGCCCCCCAGGGGTTCCAGCACCCAGCAGGGCTCCCAAAGGCAACATGGGAGGACTGGCGTGTGGCCTCAGTCTATGGCTACTGTCATGGTCTCCAATGAACTCAGGAGAGGGGCAGCAAGGGCGTGTCAGTGCCCCCAGTGCCCTGCACACAGCTGGTGTTTGAGAAATGTTTCCTGAGGCTCCACGCAGGCACCAAGAGGTCGCTGGTTCAATTCCCGGTCAGGGCACGTGCCCAGGTTGTGGGCCTGATCCCCAGTGGGGGGCATGTAGGAGGCGGCCAGTCAATGTTCTCTCTCATCCATGTTTCTATCTCTCTCTCCCTCTCCCTTCCTCTCTCTCTAGAGTCAATAAGGGAAAAAAATGAATGAAATAAAAATGTCTGTTGAGCCCTGCCTTGTGATTCAGTGGTCTGAGCGCTGGCCTGTGCACCAGAGGGTGGTGGGTTTGATTCCTGGTCGAGGGCCTGTACCTGGGTTGCAGGTTCGATCCCTGGCTCCTCGAGGGTCCGTGTGGGATCTTTCTCACATCGATGTCCACCCCCCTCCCTGAAAATCAATGGGAAATACCCTTGGGTGAGGACGAACAGCAACAGAATGTTTGCCGAGACAGGATGGCAGCCTGAGTGGGGCCGGCTGTTTTCACAGGGAAGGAGGCAGCTTTTGCCGAGTGCCTGCCTGGTGCCCAGCGCGCACAGGTTAGCCCGCGAGACCTTCCGGCAGCCCAGCCAGCCTCCGTGGAGTCTGCGCTTGACCCCAGGTTCCCAACCTGAGACCCTCTCGTGAAGAGCACCCGGCCTCTTCTGCTACTCTGCAGAGGTGCCAGGCAAGGCGAGTGCTGCTTGCAATGTGCCCTCATGCCCTGGGTGGGCAGGGCTCCGGTCAGTAATTCTGTTTGTTTGCTAATCCTCGCTGAGGATATTGTTCCCGTTGATTTTTCAGATAGAGTGAAGGGAAGGAGGGGAGAGAGCAGGAGATACATCGACAGGTTGCACACCACACAGTCCTGACTGGGGCCGGGGGTCAAACCTGCAACCCAGGGATGTGCCCTTGACCAGGAGTCAAACCCAAAACCTGCTGGTGCGGGGCTGCTGCTCTAACCGCTGAGCCAACCAGCCAGGCTCAGTGTCTTCACTGGTCACATGGAGGAACAGGCCTGGGGGTGGGGGCAGGAGGAGCAGTAGAGGGAGGAAACTGGGCCCCCGGGAGCAGCCCTCAAGGGGACCTAAGGTCTTTTGCTGCTCCAGGCTGCAATTCCCCTCATTACGTCCAAACCTGCTGTCCAAACAGCCTAGAGCTGGAGGAGCTGAGGGGGTGAAGTGGACGAGGCAGGAATGGGGCACCAGCCGAGTTACTCGAACATTCACCATCTATTCGTCCCAATGAGATTTACTGGGCACCTATGATGTGCTGGACGCCGGGGCCCAGCCAACGAGCTCCTGACACAGCAGGTGCCGTGGGCTTGGCGGCGAGAACTGCAGAGCCTGAGGCCTGGGCTCAGAGCCACAGCCACCAGCCCCCGCAGCCAGTCCCACCTGCACTGCGGCCAAGGGGGGCTCCCACCTGCACTGCGGCCAAGGGGGGCTCCCACCTGCACTGCGGCCAAGGGGGGCTCCCACCTGACTGCGGCCAAGGGGGGCTCCCACCTGCACTGCGGCCAAGGGGGGCTCCCACCTGCACTGCGGCCAAGGGGGGCTCCCACCTGCACTGCGGCCAAGGGGGGCTCCCACCTGCACTGCGGCCAAGGGGGGCTCCCACCTGCACTCGGGCCAAGGGGGGCTCCCACCAGGGTGCGGTGGCCCCAGGGCCACGGTTCCCTCCGAGCGAGAGCTCACCTCTCGAACCCCACGCCTACCTTGGCGAGGTGCTTGGCGATGCTGCGCCCGCGGTAAGCATCAGGGACCTCGGTGTGCTGCAGGTCCACAATCCGCTTGCCCACGTACTCATAGAGCAGGACGGCCCGGTCGTGACACCCTGCGGGGCGGGTAGGAGATGCGTCAGGCTGTGGAGACTCGGGGCCGACACGGCCAGGGCCTGGGGCGGACGGCTGGGCCCTGGGGCCAGCTGCTGGAGCGGGTTCCTGAAGAACCTCTATTCCTCATCCACAAAGTGCAGATGTAATAAACATTCCTCGTGGGTTGTTCGGAGGGTCCACGAGGTGACCTCTGTACAATGCTTAGAACGGCGCCCAGGATACTGTAGGCCACCACGAGCCTCTGTTGTTACCCTCAGTCCCAGCCTCGCAGCCCCCCCCGCCCCCCGCAGCCGGCTCTCGGCGCCCAGCACCCCTCTGGAGGGCCTGGGGCCGGCCGCGCTCCAGCAGAGCAGAGCAAGCAGCTCCCAGCTGAACCAGAGCCCGAAGAGACAGCGCAACCGAGGGTGGCGCCAGGACCATGCGCCAGGCCTGGCGAGCTCGGGTGTGGCCCAGTGTCCACAGGACAGTGGCACTGGGCACAGAACAGGAACACACTGGCCTCGGTGCCCACAGGCCTGCCAAGACGTAAGTGACCAGTCCACTCCAAGTCCCACGGAGAACATCTCACTGGGGTTCCTCCCACCAAAGTCTTTCGTCTCCCATCTGTCCCTGTCCATCCGTCCATCCACTCATTGCTCTCTCCCCCACCTGCTGCTCATCTACTCACCCAGCACCTCATCCACCTGTCTGTCCACACAGGTGCCCACCAGTCCCACTGAACATGCGTGCTGAGCCCCAGGCACTGTTTCAGGGGCTGGGGACACAGCAATGAACACGCCAGACAAGGTCCCTGCTCTCCTGGAATTCACGAGGAGACAACCCAGAAGCAGGAGGGGCTGGGCAGAGAGGAGACTGGAGAAGGCGGGGGGGGGGGGGGGGGGGGCAAGGGAGCCAGGGAGTGGTGTCCTGAGCTGAGATCTGCAGTACAGCTCTGAGGCAGGAGCGGGCAAGGGAGAGGCGGAGACGCGGGGGGGGGGGGAGGGATCTGACTCTGCCGGTGTTTTGAAGGTCCAGGGAGAGAAAGGACAGCTCCAAGTTTGTCAGTTTCAGGGAGCTGTGACTATGAAGAAATCAGTCAGACTGGGGGAAAGAAGGGGCCATTTAGCCAGAGGCAGTCGGGGAAGGACAAGAGGGCACAGACAGTGCAAAGGCCCTGGGGTTAGAATGCACAATTCACTGCCCCGCAAACACAGTGTGTCAAGGCCAAATGTGTTTCCCTGACTTCTAAAAGCAAATTGTATTTCATGTCTTTTTCGCTTTAACACGCCAGAGAATCTGCTGCCGGGGCTCGGCTGTGGCGTCCCGAGGACTACCCTGCCACCACTCCCTGAAGGGGCTGCTGCCTCCCGCTCTGGCCACTTAGTGACCCCGAACTCATCAAGGGCCAGCTCCATGTCTGGCAGGTTTTTGGGCACTGGTTGCGTAGCAGGAAAGAACACTGACCAGCTCCCTCGTGGAGGGAGACGAACAACAAGCAATGTCATCATGAACAACAGGGCATTCGAGGGGACAGATGGAGAGTAACAGCAGAGAGGGGTGAGGGGCAGGGGTGAGGGGCATTCGGAGGGGACAGACCGGAGAGTAACAGCAGAGAGGGGTGAGGGGCAGGGGTGAGGGGCATTCGGAGGGGACAGACCGGAGAGTAACAGCAGAGAGGGGTGAGGGGCAGGGCTGCCATTTTATTATTTTTTTACTTTTAAATTCTCACCTGAGGATATTTTTCTATTTAGTTTCAGACAGAGTGGGAGGGAGGGGTAGAGAGAAACATTGATGTGAGAGGGACACATCAACAGGTTGCCTCCTGTATGACCCTGACCAGGGCTGGGTGCCAAACCGCAATCGAGGTACATGCCCTTGACCAGAGTCAAACCCGTGACTCTTTGGTCCGGGGGCTGACGCTCTAACCGCTGAGCCACACCAGCCGGGCCAGGGCTGCCATTTTAAAGAGGGAACACAGGGGGGCCTCTCTTGAGCCAAGACCTGCAAGGGGTAGGGAATACAAAAAGAGATATGGGAGCCCTGGCCAATGTGGCTCAGGGGTTAGAACATCGGCCCACACACTGAGGGGTTGAGGGTTCGACTCCTGGTCAAGGGAACGTACATGGGTTGCAGGTTCGATCCCCCAGGGGTATGCGTGGGAGGCAACCAATCAGTTTCCCCCACATCAATGATTCTCTCTCAAAAAATCAATGGAGAAAATGGCCTCAGGTGAGGATTAACAAAAAAGGATATGTGGGGGACAAACAGTCCAGGTGCTGAGAACAACACATGCAAAGGCCCTGAGGTACAGTGTTCAAGAATCACTGAGGAGGCCAGCAGGCTGGGCTGGAATGAGTGGGGGTGAGCGCTAGTGAGCCACATTGGAGGTTCAGGGACCAAATCTCGGGGGCCTTGCAGGCCACTGGAAAGACTTTGCCTTCTGCACCATGGCCTTCCCTGAAGGGGGAGGGGCTCGAGCCCTTGAGGTGCTAATGTTCCTGTTCATTTGCTATCCTAGCCCTCAACCAATATTCCCGAAGTGGCCACGTGGGCCGTGAATGGATCGGATCCCCAAATGGCCTGGGGCTGTCCCCCCAACGCTTGCCCATCAGCTCCTGGTGGTTGTATGGGCTCAGTCACCACTGCACGTTTAGTGACCAGTCCAGGGAAGACGCTCAAAGGGTACATGTCCTACAAACAACAGCTGTTCTCTCTGCCAGACACACTGCCAGGATTTGGGGCTGACCTGGGGTCTACTGGTATGCCCAGTATCCAGGCTTCCCAGAGCCTAGCCCCGCGCCCTCGGAGGAACAGCAAGCAAATGGCAACGGGCGGCTCATGCCTGTGAGGTCCTGGCCCGGGCAGGCCCATGTTCCACTCCACACACGGATCCTCATGGACATCTTACAAATGGACAGGATGCTCAGCTCTGTTTACAGCTGGGAAACACTCTGAGAGGCAGTCACACACTCCCAGTGTGGAGCCGGCTGGAGACAGGCTGAGCTCACTTAGGAACAGAAGGGCACGGAGCTGCCAGGGTGGACAAGGGCTGCACATGAGGGAACAAATATGACAATGATGCCCCCTCCCACATGCCCCCACTGGCCGGACCTCACCACGCTGGCTAGGGAGGAACTGGACCCTTAGTGGGCAGTCCCAGACAGAGCACCTGGCCTGGGCCTGGCACCCTGGCCTTAGAGGGCCCACAAAGGGAACCCAGTCCCAACCACCCACAGCCAACATGGCCCTAAACCCGCCTGGAGAGCCCCAGAGAATGGCCAGCCCCTGGGGCTCAGGCCAAGATCCGGGGGACCTCCTTGTCTTGTCTTTCTCTCAGACCCGGAGCTGATCCTGACCCAGGGCCACAAGTATGGCTTTGAAAACAAGCGCAGAACCTGGCCGCTCTGCGTCCACCACGGAAGCCGGTCAGAGCCCACCTGTCCTCGGCTCAGGGCCCTGGTCTGGCCCCACTGGCCTGCTGCTCCGGACACACACCCAGCCTTGGGCAGGTTGCTTGCTCCGCCCAGCATCCCTCCTGGCTCTTCCTTGTTCAAGGTGAACCCAATGTCACCCCCCGCCCCCCCCCCCCCCAGGCCTCCCTGGCCATCAGCAGACGGCAAGGGCTACCCAGTCAACCTTGGTGTCCGGGGAGCTCAGCCATGCTATCTCCGCTCACAGCACTGGGCAGAACCCAGGGCATGGCCCAGCTGGGCCCAGGACCTTCTCAGGGCTGGTTCTGTGAGCTATCAAGACTCTGACTAGCAAAGGGGGCCAACACTTGCCACTCCTGGGGGCACAGGAACAAGTCCAAGGCAGGGCGGGGCTCTGGGACCTGTCTCAGCTCTGACAGGTGACTCAAGACCAGTTCCAACACCTCCTGCCCAAGATCTCACCTGTCTCCTAGGCCTGAGAATCACACCGAGATCACAGACTGAAGCAGTTTTGAGAAGAGTTAAAGCTACTCAGGTAATGAGACCCTCCCCTCGGTCTCCACCCTAGCACCCTCTGCTGGCCCCAACCCCAGCACCAAAGGCTCCAAAACGCTGTCAGGGGAGATGATCATGGAGAAACTGTCTTTCCTGGCAGGTGGGGAAGAGGAGCAGGGTTCTGGGTGGGAGATGTGGGGTCTGTGCAGAGGGCAATGAAGCCACCATCTCCACTCTGCCAGCACCAGCTCCGAGAGGTAGGCCAGTGGTCAGAACGCCCACTGCACAGACGAGGAGACGGGGCCAGGGCCTTCTGTTCCCTCTGGGAGGTGAGGCAGCTGACCAGGGACAAGTGGGTGCAGGAGCAGAGAGCAGGCCCTGGAAGCACCCGGATGGCATCTGGGGCGTCTCCACACGCAGAGCCTGGTCTGGGGAGGGACCGCAAGTCAGTGGCTCAGAGGCAGGTTAGGCAGCGGAGGCTGTGGCTTGGGGAAGGTGGAGGGGAGCAGCCAACAGCCTGGAAGCATGTGGAGCACTCTGGGGGTACCCAGGGAGGTCCACCCACAGACCAGCTGGCTCCCTTGCCACACCAGGCATCCTTCCTGCCCTTCCTGCTGAGACACAGCTCTAGGTGGCGCTCACAGGATGCCACGGGCACGGGGGCTTCCTGGGGGCCTCAGATTCAGGGACCCGAATACCCCCAGACCTGTGGCTGCTCTTTCCGTCCTGCTTGCTAAGGGAGGCCAGAGGCCGCTGCTGAATCTCTGGAACTGTGACTTCCAATCTACGAAGTGGGGGCTGGGGAGGACGTGGAAAGCACCAGGATTCTAGGACCTGCACACAAACCTTCTTTTTTTTTTTTTTAAATTCCCAAAGAGATTTAATTGGGAAGATTTCGTTTTTGCATAAAAATCACCAGTTGTTCCTCACTGGGTTTTCCACACATGTCCGTCGTTGAGGGGTCCCTCTATTAACCCTAACACCTTCAAAAATGTGGCTCCTGTTACCGCCAGAAACACTCTGTACACCCAAAGGCTCTGGGTTCGATTCACAGTCAGGGCATGTACCTAGGTTGTGGGTTCGATCCTGGTCAGGTGGTGTACAAGAGGCAACCAATTGATGTTTCTTTCTCTCTCTCCCTCTCCCTTCCTCTCTCTCTAAAATCAGTAAAAACATATCCTCAGGTGAGGATTAAAAGAAAAAGGGCTGCCCTGGCTGGTGTGGCTCAGTTGGCTGGTTGTCGTCCTGTGCACCAAAAGGTTGCTGGTTCAATTCCTTGTCAGGGCACATGCCAGGGAGGTTGGGGCGTGTTCCCCAGTGGGGGGAGGGGGGACGTGCAGAAGACAACCCATCAATATTCTGCTCTCACATCGATGTTTCTCTTCCCCTCTCCCTAAAACTCAATTAAACTGTCTGGAAAAGACAGTAAGAGCAGGCCTAGCCCTAGCTGGTTTGGCTCAGTGGTTAGACTGTTGGCCCGCGGACCAGAGAGTCCTGGGTTCAGTCCCCCCAAGGGCACGAACCTCGGTTGCAGTTTATCCCCAGCCCTGGTTGGGGTTGTGTGGGTGGGCAGCCACTCGATGTGTCTCTCTCATGTCGATGTTTCTGTGTGTCTCTTCCTCCCCTCTCCCTCCTGCTGTCTGAAGATAAATGCAAAAATGTCCTCAGGTGAGGATGAAGAAAAGAAAAAAAAGAAAAAACCAGGGCCGCCCCCTGCAGACCTCAGCCAGACTCTGGCCGCTGTGGGGGCGCAGGGCTGCGGCAGCACACCTGATCGGTTCTCGGTGGTTCGAGCTTGTGTTTCTGCAAGTGGCCCTGGGTGGCACACCTACACCTCGTGGCTGAGCTGGGCGTTCCCCAGGGCGTACATCCCGTGGGTGACATCAGTGGTGGCCAGGGAGGTGGCCAGGAAGAGGCAGACCTTCCCCAGCACTGTCCTCTGCCACGTCCTGGCCCTTGGACTTCCGGGAAGTCAGGGTGCCGTGTACCTGTGCCCGGAAGGTCTGCGGCACACTCCCACGGTGGCACTTCCTAAGCACCTCCTCGTAGGGCTTGGGGGCACTGACGTGGATGACACTGGGGTGGTTCCCGTCCCGCTCTCTGGCAGAGATGCTCTGGAAGAAGACAGATAAAGCAGAAGCCTCTTCTGGCCACACCAGGGCCAGCACGGCCCCCACAGTGGGCTGCCTCACTCGTACATTTCCTTCTCTGCCTCCAGGAGGTCCCGCAGGTCCAGGACTTCGCTGGGTCGTGTCACCCACAGCTGCGATTTCCATGATGTTGCCACTTATGTCCACCTCAATGGGGGTAAACACTGCGGCCCCAGGCGTTCGGGGAAGAGTGGCGGGTTGGACACCGCCTCGAGGAAGGGCAGGGCCCTGATACACTTGTCTGAGGCCAGGTGCTCAGGCAGCAGTGCCCTCATCCACGCCCAGCCAGTGCCAGGGGCATGGGCACCATGCAGACCCTCAGCCCTCACTGAGAGGGGGAGGGAGGCCAAAGAACGGGCCACCTAGCTGGTTCTGCCTGGCTGCCTGCGGGCTGTGTGCCCTGCTCCCCCCATGCAATGGAGACATACAAGTTCAGCGTTTCTGAGCGTGGACATGGAGGTCAGACAAGCTGAGCTCCAGCGTTCTCTCGCACCCCTGACCGCCAACAGCTGTCCGGGAGCTGGCCGCGCCTCCCTCTGCTCACACTGCCCGGAGGAGCGCAGGGGTGGCTCCCGCTCTGCCCTGCTGCGCCGACAGCCCGAGGGGGCCTGGAACCACGCCCATCTGGGCTCAGCCCACCGGCCACTCACCTCTCTCAGAGTCACAGCCCAGGCCGCACTCCTCCGCCCTCTGCTCCTTCCCCTTGGAAAGCTCTTCCCGCTCCAACCCCTCCCTTGCTTCTGCTAGGTCTTTACTTAAATGCCACCTTCCCAGGGAGGCCCTCTGGACACCTGATTCTAAACAGCAGCCCTTTCCCAACACCCCTCCCCCCTGCTTTATTCCTCAAGGCCTGGTTTTCTCGGACACCTTCCACTTGATTTATTGCTGGCCTTCCTCTGATGGTCAGTCCCCGAGTCCCCAGCACCTAGAACAGTGCTCGGCACACGTCAGCCGCTCCACAAGGACTAAACTAACTCTTCTACGGCCAAGGTGCCCCAGGGCGCCAGTCCCTTATCCACGCCTCAGTCTTCTCTTCCGAAAAGCAGACGGCAGCTTCCCCAGCACCCACCCATCAGGCTAGGAAGATAAGGTAAGTGGCTCTGGGCCTGCCTGGGGCACAGCAAGGGCCTAGTGACTCCAGCTGCTCAGCTGTCTTCCCTGGCTCAGAACCAGAGCTTGCTGGAAGCTCCTCAGCCCAGCTCTGCCGTGGGGACGACCCGGGCACCCTAGGGCCACTCTGCCTCGCGGCTTTTGTGTTCACATCTCTCAATGGGCATGATAAGCTGGCCACCAGGGCCGGCCCTGCAGGTCAGAGACAAACTGCAGGACCACAAACTGATCCCCTCTCAGCTGAGGCAGGCTGGGACCCAGACCCAGATGATCCTGCTCTCGCCCCCCCCACCCCCATATCCACTGCCAGACTGGGCCAGGCTGGGCTACAGAACCCTGAGCACGCAGGCGGGAGAGGGACAGGCAGCCTCACAGGGCTCCCTGGACTTGGCGGGGGATCCCGGGAGCACTCTGCAGTTAGCCAGTTGGGCAGTAGGTTCCAGAGGCGGGCACATCCAGCCCTGACCACAGCCAGCTCCAGGGGCTGCATCCTTTGGCTGGACTCATTTGAGAGAAGGAAAGGCCTGAACGAACATCCCTTTTCTTTTGTCTCTGTGAGCTTACAGAAACACCTGAGTACCCAAGGAAATCAGAGACCTCTCTAGAACCTCAGAAAAGATGATCTGAAAAGCGTAGAGGCCCTCTGTTGGAGAGGACAACGGTCTCAAGGTCTGGGCCATCCCTACTAAGTTGTATTCTTGCTAAATGTTAAAGTGTAGCACAGTATTTTACAGTCTAGCTGTAAACAGGATAAGCTTGACAGGAACTCAACTTCATAAGCATAAAAGTAGCCAACTGCAAAGAAGAAATCAATGTATAATTAACCAAAGAGTGTATAGAAGCTATGGCTAAGCTTCCCTTAGGGGAGGCAGAGCTATGGATATGGATAACCTCTCTCTCTCTCACTAGTTGCAAGTAAATAAAACTACTTTGCAGAATGGAACACCCAGGGAGTGAACCTCTTGAATTTGGTAACACCTCCCAACAAGAACAGCCAGGGCCCTGGGTGTCATGCCAGCTGGGCCACAGCAGTGGAAGGACTTACTTCAATGTAGAAAGGACAGTGTTTGAGCTCTGGCTCTGGCCCCTTGTGATGCAGGGCAAGTCACTTCTGCTCTGTGGTCTAAGCCTCAGTTTACTCATCTGTAATGTGGGGTTGTCACCGTTGTAATTAGCTAGCTAATATCAATGACAGGAAGAAAGCAAAGGAAGAAATGGACACATGCGCAGACAAGCCGGGGTGGATGATGTAAGACGAATGCTTGCCTGTCAGTCTAGCCTGGGGAACCATGGCCTGGCTAGGAGGGTGGAACCACTGCAAACTCTCAAAATCTCAGAAGGTTAAAATCCCCAAAGAAACTTTCTCTTGCCACTCTGCTTTCTCTTGCCCGCACCACTCCCGCACGCGCCTGCAACTGCCGAAAAGCTGATGGCCCATCACCGAGCTGACTCTGCACACAGTGGACCGCAGCTGGGACCACAAGGTAAGGAAGCCAGATGCTGCACTGGATGCTGTTTCAACATGGAACGTTGACTCTGGGCAGCGGCTTTTATCCTAGCTCTGCTGAAGACAAAATGGGACTTTTTCTGTGGCAGGAGGAGGGAGATGGGACCCTGAAGGGGAACTCCTTTAATTCACCTCACCGGTAAAGCTTGCCAGGATGCCACATCCTCCCGTGGGGGGCTCAGGAAATTCTTGTTCTCAAAGCACCCCAACAGATCCACTTCCACCAGCAACAGGAGGGGGGCATAGAGGAGGCTACCCCACAGATAGCAGGGTGGTGATGCCCACATTACAAAAATGTGCTAGGGCCTGGCTCAATGCCCAGCACAGCCCAAAGGGGTGGGTGGATGGGGTGTGGGGGTGTCTCAGAAATGTCCCTGCCCCAGCTCCTAGCCTCTCCTGATGCACCCAAGTGCAGGTTGGAGGAGCCCAGTTCGAGGAGTCAGACTAGGCAGGACCCTATTCTGGCTCTGCTCTAATTCACTGCCTGACCCCAGGTAAGCGGCTCCCTTTCCTGGGCCCCTGCCTTCCCTTCTCAGAAGTGGGCACAGTGGCCTTTCAAGTGGCTCTCGAAGCTTGGACACCGCCCCAGGGGCCCAGCTGGGAAGGAAGAAAAAGTTATTAAAGCAAAAGGGCTGGGATGTGGGGAGTTCATGGTTCTTCCTTCCACAGTTCTATCTTCTATCCCCCAGACCTCTTAGGAGGAGGAGTGTGGGCTTGTAAGTGGAGGCACCTTTCATCACAGGAAATGAAGGCTTGACTTTGCTTTCTGCTTTGAAAATAACGATCAGTCCCTGGTTACTGGCACTCACTATCCAACGCAGTGCTGTCCTAGGCCCTCGCGATTACAGCATGTCCTCCCCCACCCCACCCCGCGGCCGGGAGGTGTGCACTGGTGGTATTCCCACAGCAGGGACGGAGAAAGTGGGGCGAGCGCACGGCAACTTGGCCAAAGTCTCAGAGCCGCTGGGGTCCGATGCGGACGCCCTCCCCCTCCCCACTCCTCCCGGGGAGAAGCTACACTCGCACGTCGGCAGCCCTAAGTCAGCCCAGAGGGTTGTTCCAACTCCCTCCGGTGCAGAAGAGCAAGGTCCCGGAGCTGCGAGGAGCTAGCCGACGCCGACGGCCCCGCTCTCCAGGGTCCCACGGCAGCCAGCAGACACCGGAAAGCCGCCAGGCCCCGCAGGTGCGAGCTCCCCGCGGCGGGGCCAGGGGCTCCACTTCCGCCTGCCCCGCGGCTCGCGCCGGCCGGGCTGTCCCGCGTGGGCGCCCCCGCGCCCGCCCCTCCCCCGCCGCGCCCCCCAGCCCGCGAGTGCTGCCCTCGGCCCGAGCCCGAACGCGGGGCGGAACCTCCGCCGCCGGGGCTCCCGAGGCCCCCGCGGCGCGCGCCCGGGGGGGGTCCCGGTGGGTCCCGGTGGCTCGCAGACAAAAGGCGGGCGGCGGGCGGCGCGTTACCGTTGAGCCGGACGGTGAACTGGCGGCGCTGGCGGTCGTGCTCCACGCGGATCGGGCAGCCCTGCTCCAGCGCGCCCAGCGGCACGGCGGCCGGCGGGTGCGCCATGTGCGCGGGGCGCGTGCAGACGGGCGCGGGGCGCGGGGGCGCGGGGGCCGGAGCCGCACTCCGCAGACCGCAGGCGGCGGCGCCCACACTGACACTCGGCGGCGGCCGCAACAAAAAGGAGGGGGGGCAGGAAATCAGCTGTGAGGTCACGTGCGGCGCGCAGCCAGTGGGCGCCGGCCTTTTTGTTTTGATACATTCCACCCCGCTCTTAAAGGGGCCGCGGGCCCGCGCCCAGTGCCACTTGTGGCTCCAAACAAAACGTGCGCCGCCTCCGCCCCGGGCCACGTTTTCCTCGGGCGTGGGGCCCACTGGCGACTGGGGGCCCGCGCACGGACCTGTCCGGACACTCCAGTATATAAGGACCGGTCAGGACCGTCCAAGTGTTCCCTCCAGCCACCATTTATTGAGCACCTGCTGTGTGCACCGCCCGTGCAGAGCGGAGCCCTAAAACTCCGGGAAGCGCTCTGAGCACCCAGTGGCTCCGTGAGCTCTCTCATCGCAAGCCCGAGAAGTAGACACGCGTGGCTCTTTCTCACGGGTGGGGAAGTAGAAACCGAGGGCAGTGGAAGGGCTGTGAGGTCACAGCCCCGGGAAGATGGGCGCTGTGGGTCCCACCCCTGTGATAAGCTCGGGGCGAAATGCCTCCTCTCCCCAAAAGAGGCAGCATTGCAGGAAGAGGCCTTGGAGATCCCTGCATTCAATTCGAAGGCGGGGAAACTGAGTCCCACGAAGACCAGGGACTTGCTGGAAGAGGCACAGGACTCTCAGGGGTCCAGATTTACTGTTTTGAAAGGGACCTTGAGCGGGCGCCTGGGACTCCTGAACCTGCTCACGTCTAAAGCTGTGTCTCTCCACCTATCGCTGCAACACCGAGCCACATGACTATCGGTTACGCTTTACTAGTTCCTTAATCAAAGTGTAAACTGGCTGTTCACTCCCACGTGACCACCACCCAATCAAGACCGCGTAACACCAGTGTTTCCGTCGTCCCCCGTGCAATCGGCGCCCCACCCTTTGAAGTAACTACTACCTTGACTTCCAGCGTGATTGACTGACTTGCTTTCCCCAGAACTTCCTATAAACGAGATCGCATAGTATCTACTGTTGAGTGTAGTTTCTTTCCGTGTTGTCTGTGAGATTCATCTTTGTGGGAGGGGGTATCGGTGGCATGACTGAATAGTGGGCGTTTACCACAGTTTACCCAGCCATGATGGGCATTTGCGCGGTTTTCTGGTTTTGATTATCATTAAGCAAACCTGCCATGGACATTCTTTTTTTCCCTTTATTGATTTTAGAGAGAGAGGAAGGGAAAGGGAGAACAAGATAGAAATGTCGATGAGAGAGAGACACATCCAGTGGTTGCCAGCCACATGGCCCCAAACGGGGCTGGGAACAAACTGCAGCCAAGGTGCGTGCCCTTAGCAGGAACCAAACCTCAAACCGCTGAGCCAAACCAGCCAGGGCTTTCTTTTTGATTTATTGGAATTCCTTCAATCGTTTGGTTATGTGTCCTTTGTCAGATATATTCCTTGAGAAAATCTCAGCAGATCTTTTTTTTAAACACGTGTGTGTTTTGTTTGTTTGTTAATCCTCACCTGAGGATATTTTTTTCCATTGATTTTTAGGGAGAGTGGAAGAGAGGGAGGGAAGGAGGGAGAGAGAGAAACATGGATGTGAGAGAGACACATCATGGGGGTTGCTTCCCCCACGACCCTGACCGGGGCCAGGAATCGAACCTACAACCCAGGTAAGTGCCCTTGACCGGAACTGAACCCAAGACCCTTTGGGCCCTGGGCTGATGCTCTAACCATTGAACCAAACCAGCCAGGACAATATGTGTGTGTTTTATTAGGGAGTCTGGAAACAAAACAAGGCTGAGGAGTGAGTCATTATAAACAAGGAGGCAGAAAGATTGCGGGGTCAAAGTCAGGGGGTGGGAGGGCTTGACTTCAGCTGAGTCAGAGCTGGGTGTAATTGTGAGCAAGCAAGATGTGATCTTATATGTGTGTCAGGTGACTTCTTTGTCTCCAGAGAACTTGAGTGGGGTGAGCAGGCCAAACCAAGTGTCTGGAAATTCCATGAACAGGCTATGCCCTTTCCCGCTCTGGGCCTTTGCATGTGCTGTTGCCAAAATTATGACTTCCTTCCAGGAGCCTCACTGATGCTCCTCAGCCAGCCTGGGTCCCGGGGAGATTCCTCCCCTCCGAGTCCCTGGCATGGCACAGTGTGAGAACGCAGGACCTCCCTGTTTTGGACTCCCTTTCTTCTCTCCTACTTTAAATGTCTGTTAGCTTATTGGGGTCTTTGAACCTCACAGAAATCCTTTGTGAAACAAGGCAGAGTATCAAAAAATTAAGTAAGCAACTACTGTTTGCTGAGTTGAATCAATTTGCTCTTTCAGCCCCAAAGCACACTGGTCACGAAGGAGATCTTGGGGATCGGGGGGGAGGAGTTTCTGAATGAAGGTGTGACCTCTGAAGTTAGAAAGCAAAGCTGGGTCCCAACAGTCTTGAGATAGATGGACCCTGGGTGCTGAAGGCCCCCATATTTGGGACCTTCAGTACCATCTGGAGACCAGGTCACGTGTATATAGGATATCGTTTATTCAATCAGTAATTCATTTAGCAAATATTTATTGAGCACCTACCATGTGCCATCACTATTCTAGGGGGACACAGCAATGAAAAAAACAGACCAAATTCCTCGTTCTGCAGGAACTGTATTCTAGGGGAGGGAGAAACACTGGGCAAAGAAGGACACAGATATGTGGCTCATCTCAAGTGTCCCCGAGAGATTTAGCTGGGAGGGGTGTGGGATGGGGATTTGAGACAGGGTGGCCAGGACTGACCTCAATGGATTTGACTCTTTTTGTGAAAGATTTAAGGAGGCGAGAGAGTCCAAGGTGCTGAAGGAAGAGCAGTCCAGCAGAGAACAGCCAGTGCAAAGGCCCTGGTGCGTGTTTACACAGCACACTAAGGCCCGTTTGGCTGGGCAGAGTGAGCCAGGGAAAGGGGGTGAGGCTAAGGGACCTGAGGGCAGAGTGGGGGTCCTCTCTGGCCACAGGGGGGCCTTCAGGTTTTACTTTGAACCAGGAGGGAGCCATGGGACAGTCTTGAGCAGATCAGGGCATGACCTTAGTTTTCTTAGTTTTGTTTGATATTAGAGATTTCAAACATATAATGTAAATAGAACAATCAAGTTAAGCCCTGGCCTATGCCATTGTGACTGAGGTTTTGGTTTGTTTGTGTTTTTTATTTGAAAATATTAAGATACTCTTAATAAAAATAAGTTAATAAGGGTAATTAAAAAAATAAAAATATTAAGACAGCATTTACATGCAGTAAAAAGTACACTTTTCAGAGTATAGTTTTGACAAACGTACGCCCTCATGTAGCCACCACCCAACCCAGTTATAAAGCGGTTTTATCAGCCCTCTATGCCCTGTGCCCCTGTGACCCTACCCACCCCATCCCGAGCTTACTTTCCGTCCCTATTGTTTCACCTTCTGCAGCATGTCACGCACCGTGTGGCCTTCCGCGTCTGCTTCCTGTGGGTGTGCTGACTGCGACTGGCCTGGGGTGCTGAGCATGTCTGCCGTCTGTTCCTTGGAGCAGCTCATGTTTTGTGTTCAAAAAAAATTTTTTTTTCTTTATTGATTTCAGAGAGAGAGGAAGGGAGAGGGAGAGAGAGAGAGAGAAACACTGATGAGAGAGAACATCGACTGGCCGCCTTCTGCACACGCCCCACTGGGGATTGGGCCCCCAACCTGGGCACGTGCCCTGACCGGGAATCGAACTGGTGACCTCTTGGTGCATGGGTCCACCCCCAGCTACTGAACCACACTGGCTGGACTCAGCTCATGTTTTGAAGATTCCTCTGCCTACCACATGGGGGGGAAATGCAAGAGGCAGGACATCCCTGCACCAGCTCAGATGCACAGTGACCATAATGGCCAATGCCTAGTGTTCTGAGCTCTTCGTTTCTCACAGAAATGCCATGTGGATGGTGCAGCTGTCAGCCTCCTTTTCCAGACGAGGCTAAGTAACTCCCTTGGGTCACACAGCTGGCAAGTGGCAGAGTCACATTCAGGCCCAGCACCTTCCTGCTCTGTACCCAGGAGTGGGGCTGTCTCTTTAGGGCACTCCGTGGGGCTCCACGGACATCTGCAGATGTTATGATCCACAGTGGCGGGGCCAGGGGCCACCAACTCCAGGGAGTCCGTTGAGGTTGGCCTTAGAATCCAAGCACCACCACCACCATGTGCAAGCAGCTCACGGGCTTGGCCCCCGCTGACATTGTCACCCCTCGCAGGAGAGGGACTGCAGAGGCCCCAGGAAGGCTAAGTGGCCCATTTAGAGTTTGAACCAGTCAGTCTCCCAGCTTCACCCTCAGCATCTCTAACTCTGGCCCCTGGGCCTTGATTCCCTGTCTGTGAAACAGAGGTACGGGGTGGGGAGTTCACCTCTCTGACGCTGACAAAACCATTCACAGGGAGCTTTTGACGCACAGGGCGTTTTTCCCAAGAACACATGTAAGCATAGTCATGGTTTGTAGTCTTTCTTTTTTTCACTGAACAATATACTGTGTCAATTTCCATTGTTAATTTATAAATCTTTAAGGATAATATATAATTCTTTAAGGATACTTTTTTTTATCCTCACCCGAGGACATTTTGTTTTCTCCATTTTTGTTCAGATATAGTGGGAAGGAGAGAGAGAAAGAGAGAGAAACATTGATGTGAAAGGGATACATTGAGTGGCTGCCTTCTGCACAACCCCAACCAGGGCTGGGGATGAATGGCAACCGAGGCACGTGCCCGTGGCTGGAATCCAATCCGTGACTCATTGGTCCACAGGCCGACGCTCTAACTGCTGAGCCAAACTGGCCTGGGCTCTTACGGATACTTTTAATTCAACTTTTGAATTGGTAATATAGTCACGTTTCAAAAACTAAAGCAAAATATATGCAGGCAACCCTGGGCAGTTTGGCTCAGCAGTTAGAGCATCGGCCCATGGACCGGAGAGTCCCGGGTTCGGTTCCTGATAAGGGCACATGCCTCGGTTGCAGTTGTCCCCAGCCCTGGTTGGGGTTGTGTGGGTGGCAGCCACTTGATGTGTCTCCCTCACATCGATGTTTCTCTTTCTCTTCCTCCCTCTCTCCTTCCCTCTCTATCTGAAGATAAATGCAAAAATGTCCTCAGGTAAGGATACACACACACACACACACACACACACACACACACACACACAGGCAGCCCTGGCTGGTGTGACTCAGTGGGTTGGAGCATCATCCTGGGCACCGAAATGTGTGTTCAATTCCCAGTCCACGCACATGCCCAGGTGGCAGGTTTGATCCCTGGTCAGGTGTGTGTGAGGCAACTGATTGATGTTTCTCTCTTTGTCTCTCTCTAAAAATAAAGAAGATAAACACACACAAATAAACACACACACACACACACAACCAGGAACAATTGGCCTCAGAGTCCCGTCTTCCTCCTCCCCACCACACAGAGGGGGAAGCCTTTTTACTTGCTCATCATTTGTTCCAGTTTTCCGCACATAAACCAAGTAAGAACAAATATATATTCTTTCTTCCCATTTTCTAACTTGAAGTGAGCATGTCACAGTAAGTGTGTCCTGAGCTCTGCTGTGTCGGGTCCCGTGTGGTCCTCAGCCCTGTCCCGCCCCGCAGTCTTCTCGTCCCTGGGTGGTACCGGGGGCCATCCGCAGCGGCGGGGCAGGCCTGACCCATCCCTGCCACGGTCCTGGACTGAGGCCTCTTTGGGTCATTTCTAGGTGGAGCATCTCTGTCTCCCCTGCTGACTCTCCCATCGTGAGGATACAATAACCACCTAACAGTTCCCTATTGTTGAGCATTTAAATCCATTTCCAGTTTTTCACCGCACGGAGTACGTTCACACATGTACTTTTCCCCACCTGTGTGATTGTCCTCTGAGGAAAAGGATACCAGCAGAAACACCTGTTGAGCGCTCCTCGGGCCAGGTGCTGTGCAGGTGCTCCCTGTGCCTGACTTCATTCATCCTCACACCCTCCCTGAGGCCCAGGGACCACACAAATGCAGGGACCCGGCTTTGGAGAGGCTGAGAACTGTCCCAAGTTCTCCCTGGTGCTGGACAGTGGAGCCAGGATTCCAACCAGGGCTAAGTTCAGAGTCTGACATCTGAGTGGAGGACAAGCCCCCAGGATGGGCCTGGTGGGAGCCTCCTGAAGGGATGGGGTGGGTCCTCCCCAGACCTGGAGGCCTTTGGGGTCTTCTGGAGTGGACCGAGGGTTGAGCCTACTTGGCTGACGACCAGGCAGGGTATCAGATGAAAGGGAGCAGCATGGAGAGGGGCAGAGGCGAAGTCCGGAGGGACTGTCCTGTGTGGGCCTATCCTGGGTTCTCCGGATTCTCAACAGGAGCTGGGAATCAAAGAGTAAAGTGAGGTCTCCTGACTGTTAACTGATGGCAACTGGTTAAAAACACAAGTATGTGTGTCTGCCCCAGTGCTTAGGGGCAGAGAGAAGATCCGGCAAACTCAACAGTCGATGGGCCCAGATGAGGTTCAGGTGCGTTTTCATGGCAGGATTCTGGCCATTTTTTGGGAGATATACATTTTTTCAAAATAAAAAATTGAGGGGAAAAGAGAAACCAAATAGAATATGTGAATCTTGGTTAGATACTGGTTCAAATTGTTTTTAGCATAGAAGACATTTTGGGCCAATTGGGCACCTGAATATGGACCATGACTAGGGGTCCGTGGAATGGCCTGTCTGAGGCGGGACAGTCACAGTGCTCACAGAGAGCCGGTCTTTGTTCTCAGGCGACCATGCTGAAGAGTTGGGAGCAGACGATTATGCTGTCCGTAACTTAAACAATTCAGAAAACAGTACATGTCTACACGGAGGAGAGAGCCTGAGAGCACGGGACCAAGGGTGAACAATGTCTGTCGCAGAATTCAACTTCTTATGTGCTTGAAAATTTTCATAATAAAAATGGGGGAAAAGGGTAGGGAGAAAGCAACCATGGGGTGAGACAAAATGTCGGGGGGGTGCTAGAAATGGCCCCCAGTTGGCCAGCCGTCCTTTAGCCCAGTTCACTCCCACTGCAAGAGAAGGAAACTGAGGCCCATGGGAAAGGATTTACCTTCTTAATTCATTTTCCTCACCCAGCGTGAGAGCCGCTGTTTGGGTTGGTGGGGGTGAGGCCATAGGCGGCACTTCCAACCCTTTGAGCTCGCTGAGGGCGGTTCTGTTGTAGTTCCTCGTCGCAGAGGTGGAAACTGAGGCCCAGACAGAGAAATGGATGGACAGAGCTGCTATCAAGTCGGGGAGTGAAGCTGGTTCTCAGGCCTCCCTTCTTCCCTTCTGTCCCCAGAACAAGAACACAGCTTTGGAGTCAACAGGCCCAGCTCAGCTGATGACTTTGCTGTGTCATCCGGGGACTCACCTAACCTCTCCGAGCCACAGCTTTGGGTAAGGACATAATGGGGTGACATGTGAGGGCTCCGGACCCCGGCCCTGTGCACAGTTGGTAGGATCACATGTCCCTCTGCCCTGCGGTTCCTGAAATCTCATTATCTCCAGCCATTGTGCCCACCCAGGCTGCCCCGCAGGCCAGAGCCCCTGCCTCTGACCCTCTTTCCCCCAGCCCCAGCCCCGCCTCACTGTGTTCCCCCACACGCCTCCCTGCAGGTCTCGGTGTGCCCCCAACAGTGGGGTTTGCACCAGCCTTGGATCCATCACACCATCCTTGAGCCTCAGTTTCCTCATCTGTGACACAGCAGTAATGGCCCCAACTATTTTGGGCTCCCCCCTTTAATCAAACAGGCTTCCCTCTTCCTCCTCCAGCTTTAATCAGATGTGATTTATATACAATAAAATCCACCCATTTAAATGTAAGTTTGATGGTTTCTGACAGGTGTGTACAGTTTTGTGACAACCACCACAAAAACCATACGGAACATTTCATTTTACTTTCAGATGTCCCTTATGCCCCCAGCACCAACACTGACCTGTTTGTGTCCCTGAAGTTCTGCCTTGTCCAGAATGGCACACAGGTGCAATCTCACCGAATGCTGTCTCTCTAGTCTGGCTGCTTGGACTTGGCATAATGCATTTGAGACTCACTGTGCTGAAGCCTGTATACGAACCTCTTTCCTTCTTTGTGGCCGAGTAGTATTCCACCGGTCAGTGTTAGCTTTTCCATTCTCAAATTGACGGACTCTAGAGTTTTTTGTTTCAGTTATGAGGAATATGTCTATAACTATTTGCATACAGGTTTTTTTTTTTTTTGTTTTTTTTTTTGGTGGTTTGGTTTTTCTCTTGGGAGTGGAAGGGCTGGGTTGTAAGCAAAAGTATATTTAATTCTGGAGACTACCAAGCAGCTGTCCAGGGTGGTGGTGTCATTTTGCATTCCCTCCAGCAACGCGTGAGTCCCCGTCTTTGCACACCGCGGCCCACACTTGGGGCTGTCATCTTCCCACTTCGGCTCATTCGAATAGCTGTGCAGTGGGATCTCACCGTGGTTTGTCTTCATTCCCCTAACGCCTCATCGTGCTGAGCTTTTGACGTCTGGATATCTTCTTTGGTGAGGTGCCTGTGAAGGTTTTTTGCACATTTAAAAAAAATTGGGTTATTTGTTTTCTTAGGATTGAGTCGTAAGAATTCTTTGCACTTGGGGCTGAGCCCTTTATCAGAGATGTGTTTGCAAACATTTCCTCTCCAGGTTATTTTGAGGATTAAATCACATCGTAAACTCCCACTGGGTGCTCTGTTATTATAACTCTTATTACTGTTGTTAATTTTACAGCTCTGTTTTGACATGTGGCTAGAAAAAGGCCTCATGTCTCTCAGCCCAGAGCTCCCAGGGGCACCTGCCAGTGGGGTGTCCTCGGTGCCCCAAACCCAGCACTCAGGTCCCCTCTGTTGGGATTCTCTGAGAGAGCCTCAGCCTCCACTGGAGCCCAGGACATCTCTGTGCTGTTTATAAATTGTCACTTATCAAAACCAACCAGCTGGCCTCAGCTGCTTGGCTGGGCCCAGTGGAGGCGTTGGAGATGCCCCTGCCCTGCCCTGCCCTGCCCACAGGACAGAACCACATCCCTCCCCGTCTCCTGGCCAACGTCATGGCTCCTGATGCTGGGTGTGCAGACACGTCCCCTCACGGGAGCTTTACCACACACCCAGGGTCTGGTGTCCATCTGTCAGATGAGACGACAGAGGCTTGAAGAGGAGATGTGGCCACTCGGAGCCCCACAGCCCAGAGGGTGGCACAGGTTTTCTTCACCAACATTGCCATTCGCTTACGTCCTCAATCAGCAAACACTCGCCTCGTTCGCCCACACTGCAGCTGGGCAGAAGCAACCGGAGGCGCCCAGTGATGATCTATTCAGCACCTGGCAAGTGCCAAGCACTGGGCTCTGCATGAAGGATCTCGCCTACGTCCCATTTCACAGATGAGGAAACAGGCTTGGAGAGACCAGGTGACTCGCTCTCAGTCTGAGTCCTGACTGCTGGGCCAAACGCATGGTCTCTGCTCCTCCGTGACGCCGGCCCCACCTGCGTGGCCAGCAGTTCCGGGCACCCTCGCTGACCGGCACAGCCCTTGGAAGTCGGCTGTGTGGCTCCTATTTCAATCCCCATTTCCTTCCCCCTTCAAATTCATTAGGGCTCCCCGTCTCTGCGCCCATATCCATGTTACCATCCTGCTTCTGGGACCACCCTCCCTCCTCTGTATCACCCTGTTCTCAAAGTCTTCCCAGTGGGAAAGCACTGACTCCCTTTGCTGGGGCTCCCTGGGGGGCCAGACCTGTTCATATTCAGGTGCCTTCCCAGCCAGCGCCTGGGCCCGTCTTCCTCAGGTACACCTGCACTGTGGGAAATGATGTTTGCAGGAGGACATGCCTTGTGAATGCAGAGCCTGGAAGACCCCCCAGCAGGGGACCAGTAACATGCATCGTGGGAGCCTTTTGGTGGATACTCGGCAGGTGCTTGAAGAGAGGGGCTGCTCTCCGAAGGACACAGGATCTAAGGGGGATGTTACGTGGCAGGGATGTGCGGGAGAGTAAGAAAAGGACAGACACTGCCTTGTCCCTGCGATGACACCTAAGGAGATGGTCCCGGGAGAGCACCCAGGGAGGCGAAGGTGGAGTCACTTTCCATTCTAGGCTTCCTCACCTTTTGAACTTGAGCTGAAACTTCCCCTCCCCTAGGAAGCCACCTCTGATTCACAGTCCCACCCATGATGTTGTTTTGAGTAATTCCAAGGTCCTGCCCTTTTCTAAATCTGGCTGCCCCAGGAGTTTTGGGGAGGTGCCTCCCACCAGCCCTTCCCTTGCATATCTTTGAGTCAGACTGAACACCCCTGCGGGGAGGGCCAGGCTGAGGCTTATCTCCCAGGGGAGCCCCCATATCCAGCTCCAGACCCTAGTGGGCTGCGGAGTTGGCCCAGACCCAGAGGCCTCCTTCTGCGCCCAGGCCTCAGGAGGGGGCTGATTTCACAGCCTTGTTGAACTCTGACTAGGTACCAGGCGCATGTGATCCTCACCCTGACTCTTCAGAGTGAGTTCCACACTTGACAGAAGGAGAGGGAGGCTCCGAGCAGGTGTGACACCCCACACCTCACCTGGTGCCACGCAGCAGTGAGCAGAGGAACCGGGCTCAACCCCACAGGCTGCAGGGCACTGGTCTTCCACCCACCAGGAGGCCCTTCAGCCTAGTGATGCTTTTCTCTGGCCCTGGGTGACTGGAGACGCAAAGATGCATCAGGCCCGGGCCTTTGGGCCCCTGTCCAGTTGATGAGGGCAGCACAGTTTTCGGGAACCCAGAGAAGGCAACCGTGATTCCACCTGCAGCAGTGGTTTCCCGAGGAGGCGGCCCTGGCACTCAGCTTAGAAGGATGAAGTGTCCGTCAAGCCCTTCAACTCAAGCACGTTCCCCCCATGCTCACTGTCCTTGCTCCCACACTTACCGCCTGCCTGGCTTTGTCTCTGTAACTGGCACCCTTTTCCTGAGCTTGGAGGAGATGTCAAGCCTCCGAGGGGTCACTGTCCACAGCAAGCGACAGAAGGGGCGTGGCTGCCAGTTCTCTGTCTCTCCCGTTTCCAGGTAGGATCTGTGTCGCCTTCCCTTTAACCTGCGCAGACTGCGTGAACCAGCAGAACGAGGCAGTGACACGTGTGACAGCTACTATTCTATCAGAAAGGGTCGGCCGGCTTCTGCCTGGTTGTCTCAGGCTGCCTGTGCCTGGTGTCCATCGGCCGAGCTGTGAGGAAGCCCGGGCCAGGGGCAGAGGCTACGTGTGGGTCCCAATGCACAGCCCCTGAGTCCTCCCGCCCAGGTGCCGACATGGAAGTAAAGGGGCCTCCAGATGAGTCCAGCTGAGGCCCGACCTCACGGTACAGAGGCACACCACCCTGCTCTGTCCTGAGCACCATGACAGCTGTTTACACCACTGCGTTTGGGAAGGGCTGTAACGCAACAGGAGATGAGCAGAGGAGGGATGTTGTGATTTCACACATCTGTGATCATCATCTCTTCCTCAACACATATCTGTTCCACGTGCGAGGGGCTGGCTTGGAACTCGGCCCAGGGTCAGACCCCGGAGAAAGGTTTGGATTAGAATCAGAAAACATTGGCTGTGACCCTCTGCTTCCTCCAAACCACTACACACCCCCAGCCCCTGACCACTGGGTCCCTACATGGCATCAAATCCCATGAAGATCTCAGTTTGGTAATCCAGGAAGGCTACATGTAAGAGGCAGGATTTGAGTTATAAAGGTCAGGCAGAGTTAAAAATAATCGTGATCAGCCTTCACTGGGTAGGTCAGGTGATTGGAGCATCATCCCAATACGCCAAGGTTGTGGGTTTGATCCCTGTTCAGGGCACATACAAGAAGCAACCAATGAATGCAAAATTAGTGCAACAGCAAATTGCTGTCTCTCTCTCTTTCAAAAAAAAAAAAAAAAAAAAAATCAAGAAAAGATGAACCACAGCATTTGTTTATATTATAATATCAAATTAACATTAAATGTATTAATGGACTTTATTCATGTATTAAAATACTGTATATTTAATATACAGGGTGTCCCACCAAATGTATATAGGGTGTCTTTAGATTCTATTCTATTTTTAAAATGAAATGTATTTTAATAAACACTGCCTTTATAAGTATTCAAAGTTGTGTATACATTTTGGGGGGACACCCTGTATATTAAACATAACACATGAGTTTTGCAGAAATATTTGACAGAAAGAAGACAAACCCATTTCTTGTAATATCAATGCCCAGAAATCACATTGCTGGCCCACTGGAGTGTTTCCTACATTTCTACTCTGCACCTTGGACCAAGCTGCAACTTTCAGCAAACTTTCCTGATGGCTCTAAGCAGAGACCAGATGGTAGAAAGAAGAATTCCCACTAGTCACAGCTGAGGTCATGTTTCGGGGCGTGTGGCCCCTGAGGAGGATGCTGGCTGGGTGCCCTCCTTCTGGTCCCCGGCACAGCCCCCAAGGACCAGGTCATCACAGTAATTCCCCTTGCCATGGCCCAAGTTCTAAGTCATTCACAGAACAAACCCGTGGGAGCACACCTCTGAGTGTGCAAGATTGAACACATCCTCCCGGTCATGTCTTGGCTCATCAATCCTCAAGCACAAACAATGATCTCTGCTAACTTAAAAATAAAAAGGCCTTTCAAAGTGAGAGGCAACAGACATTTATTGAGATCGATGTTCTGATTCAGGCAGAATCTCCAAATAATGTTCTGATCAGGGACAAAGGCAATGAGTATTGATGAGAACGGGAAGGGGAGCAATGACATCCAAAGAAGGAAGGTGTTTCTGTGGGTGCAGATAACATAACACAGTGATATTAATTCTAAACAATGTTTTTAATTTTCAGTCCAGTAGTCATCACAACTGCTTTCTTGTTATCTCTGCAAACAGTTCTTTGGGACACAGTGTTTCACTAGGCCCAGTCCAAAGGTTATTTTGCACTGTTTTAATGTTCCAAGGTTTGAGGCACAAGTCATGTAAAGCACTTTCTCTGCATGGCAGCTCTGGTCCATTTTAAAGTTGCTGGAAATCTGTGCTTAGGAGGGGCAAAAGAAGCCTCTTGTCTAAGTGAGCCCGGGACATCCTGCCCACCCGCCCGTCAGATGTCATAATCGGTCTGACTGTTGGGGACCAGGGGAGGAAACGAATTCCTTCACTTGTGCCCTCAAGAGGTCCGGGCAGCCTGCTCTCCCCTGGGGGCCAAATTCTTCCTCCCACCAAGGAATATTTGCAGCTTCCCAAGATTAACCTCTTCAGCACCTCAAAGAGCCTGGAATGGAAACAGCGCACCCGGATGGTGGAATGGCTGCTTTGTGGAGCAGGCTGGGGTGGCAGCACCTGGCCCAGCTGGTCCCGAGACGCTTTCTCTTGAGGACACGCAGGGAGGTAGGAAACAACAGTGAAAAAAGACTAGATACAAACAACAAGTGCTGGGGAGGGTGTGGAGAAAAGGGGACTCTACACACTGCTGGTGGGGGTGCAGTCTGGTGCAGCCACTGTGGAAAACAGTACAGAGGTTCCTAAAAAAATTAAAAATGGAGCTGCCATTTGACCCAGTGATTCCACTTCTGGGAAATACATCTGAAGAAACCCCCAACACTAATTTGAAAAATATATACACCCCTATGTTCATTGCAGCGTTATTTACAACAGCCAAGATCTGGAAGCAGCCCAAGTGCCCGTCAATAGACAAAGGGATAAAAAAGGATGAAATGTTACCCTTTGCTGCAGCATGGACGGAAGGGTCAAAGGGCACAACACCCCTACACACACACTGAAAGTTTGGAGAAGGGAATGTTTCCAGTCCTCATTTGGGCTCAGCTTTGTCTGCAGTATTGGAGCTACAAGACGTTATGCTCAATGAACTAATTCAGACAGAGAAGACAGATTCCATATGATTTCACTTATATGTGGAATCTAAAGAGCAAAATAAACAAAATTGAAACAGACTCATAGATACAGAGAACAGACTAATGGTTGACAGAGGAGGGGCATTGGGGCCTGGGCGAAAAAGGCGAAGGGATTAAGAAGTACAGTTGGTAGTTACAGAATAGTCACAGAATGTACAGTGCAGTACTGGGAGTATAGTCAATAATATTCTAATAACCAGGTGTGGTGCCAGGTTATTTCCAGGGTACTGGAAATATTGGGGGAACATTTTGTAAAGTATATGATTATCTAACCATTATGTTGCACACCAGAAACTAACACAAAATAATATGAAATGTAGACTGTATTTGAAAAATAAAAAATTTTAAAGATCAATATTATGCCCAGCTAGTGTGGCTCAGTGGTTGAGCATCTACCCACGCACCGAGAGGTCGCGGATAGAGGATGGCTTCCCAGTCAGGGCACATGCCCAGGTTGTGGGCCAGATCCCCAGTCGGGGGCGTGCAGGAGAGGGCCGGTGGAGGATCTCTCTCATCAATGTTTCTATCTCTCTCCCTCTCCCTTCCTCTCTCTAAAAGCAATAAAGAAAATAAACATTAAAAAAAAATCGATATTATTTTAGCTAAAAAGTGATTGCCACCGTGCTCTGCAAAGTATCCTCGATGGGTACCATTTGCATGACTGCATGGCCCCACTGGCTCCCTGGCGGACTCTGGAGAGGTCCCTAGCCCAGAGGTTGCCCCGGAGGCCTGCAGAAGCCCCAGGACCTCCCTCGCCTGCCCTCAGCCTACCAGACCTTGGCGTCCCGCCCCTAGCACCACTTGACCCAGCGCAGCCAATAGGGTCACACCACGCTCTGTGGAGGGTAGGCGGGGCCGGGCGGGGCCATGGAATGGTGGGGCGGGGCCATGGGCGGGGCCCTGCCTGACGGTGTCAGCCATCCACTTGGCCCTAGGGAATGACTTATCTTTTTCTCTTGAGCCTGTGGATGGCTGCAGGAGAGACTTGGAATGACTCAAGTTCCTCTAAAAGTGTTCTATTTTTGGCCTTCCACCACTTGGGCCCCTGACCTCCTAACCTCGTGTCCTTCTGCTCCCCTCCCCCTGCTCCTGCTGTACTCGGGGCATATCAGCCTTTACATTTTTCCTTCAAGTTTACTTTACTTTTATTTTATTTAATGATTTTAGACAGAGAGGAAGAGAAAGGGAGGAGAGAGAGAGAAACATCGATGAGAGAGAACATCAACTGGCCGCCTCCTGCATGCCCCCCACTGGGGATCAGGCCCACAACCTGGGCATGTGCCCTGACCGGGAATCGAACTGGCGACCTCTTTGTGCATGGGTACAATAAACCCCTGAGCCACACTGGCTGGGCTCAAGTTTACTTTTTTTTTAATCCTCATTCAAGGACATTTTTTTTCTGCATTAATTCTCAGACAGAGAGGGAGGGAGAAAGGGAGGAAGAAAGAGAGAGAGAGAGAAACATCAATGTGAGAGAGACACATGGACTGGCTGCCACCCACACGATCCCAACCGGGGCTGGGGACAAACTGCAACTGAAGTACATGCCCTTAGTGGGAACCGAACCCTGGACTCTCTGGTCTGCAGGCCGATGCTCTAACCACTGAACAAACTGGCCAGAGCTCAAGTTTACTTTTTATTTTTATTGAAGTAATGCTTGCACATAGTGTTAAAAATCAAACGGCGCCACAAGGCTGATAAGAATGATGAAACAGCAGCCTTGCGGGCGCAGGCAACCACACTGAGCATCTGCTGTGTACCAGGCTCTGTGGTAGGCCCTGGGCATACAGCGGCCAAAGGACCAAATCCCTCCCATAGCTGATGTGCTAGTGTACCTCCTCTTACCCTTTTAGTCTTCCTTCCTTATTTCTCCGTCGCGTGCTCATATTCTACTTCTTTTCTTCATTTTTTGTTTCAATTTTAGGCAGTATAGACGGCTCCCTACTACTGATGATGCAGATTTAGTTCTCGAACACATGGATCCCAGTACTGCCCTCCCTCTGAGTGCCCACTCGCATCACGGTTTTGGGATACATTGGTATTTGGCGTTTATAATATTATGATTATGTAAATATTGTTCCCCGCTGAGCTGCGCAGACTTTATAACTACATTTTCTGGCCAGCGTTGTTTTACAGGTGTTAATAATTGCCTTGTTTCTCCTGCATCAAACTGGGCACTCGAGGAGTCCTCTCAACCTGGAGACGAACGACCTTCGGTTCTGGGAAGTTGCAAGGCATACTTCCTTCTTTTAGAAGTTCTTAATTGATTTTGTTGCCATCCTCACCTGCTCCTCCACCTCTAGAGGAAGCAGGGGCCTCCCAGGGGCTACCCTGTCGGTGGTCTGGCTGCAGATTGGCTCCCCCCCCCCCCCCCCCCCCCCCGCATGCTTGGATTTCCCCTTCCTCAACTCGGCTAAGTCTTTCTATTTATTTTCCAGCAAATTTTCTGGACTCCTCTTGTCCCTGTCATTGACTTTTCTGTTCTTTTTGCCCATGTGAGATGATGCCTTAATGTTTTAAAATTTTACTGTCACTTTAGTGGGGTTTTGGGAGGGAAGGGAGTACGTATCCCTGCTCACGGTTAACTAGAAGTCCCCCTCACCTTCTCTCTGAGTACCTTCTGGACATTTTAAGTCAGTCCTACTCCCAGTTTCACATGCTGTTATTGCCACCTAAGTCTGAGCTCAGAGGATACTTCTAGGACGGCTCCCTTAACCACCCCATCCAGTGGAGACACCCCACGATCGCTCTGCCACAACACCGTCTTGACTTTTGTTCATAATCCTTATCACTCTTTGAAATTATTTTTATCTATTTACTTTCATTGATATATTCGCCTTTTCCTCGATCTGCCCAGACTTGCTCCAAGAAGGCAGGGACCTTGTATGTCCTATTCTTCACCGCCCCTCCACTCTCCACACAGTATCAGGCAAAAGTTGAATGGCTGGATGGATTTGAGTGTGGGGTTTCCAAGAGACAAACTGAGCGGAACGTAAGGAAGAAGCTGGTAATGGTCAGAGTTTCCTGAAAACAGAAGCCAGCGCGCGAGTGAGACTCTTCCTGGGAGGGTTGTGAGCCCAGGCGGGTGGTGACAGGGAACAGAAACACCGATAAGTGGATATGATGATCTCTGAGGCTTGGCTGAGACACCTGTTGGCTCAGGGTCACGCACCTACTTCTTGGAGGAGCCACGACTGCCCTTAGATTCGAGAACAGCCCTTTGCAGGCCAATATTGGGGTGCACCCAGGGCGTGGAGTCAGCCTGATCCAAGTGCAGTTCTGCCTGTCCTCTCCCTGGCCGTATGGTCTTGGGCAAGCTGTTTGTCTCTGCGTTGGTAGTGCTTCTCCCCCGTACCATGACTCCCCCAACAACTCTGAGGTCCTGAATTCCAGATAACAAGCATGAGACTTATAGTAAAATGCCCAATCCACAGTAGCTGTTCCGCTGATCTGAGTCAAAAGCCTGCTTTCATCCTTCTTGGCAGGGAGACACGGGCAAGCTGCTTGAAGCCTTGGGCCCCAGTTTCCTCATCTGTGAAATGAAGGCCTTATCAGGTCATGTCAAGTCTCAGGCTTGGAGTGCAACAGCTGTCGATCAATGCCTGTACCACCTCCTAGACAGGAAGTGCCACATGTGAAGACCAGAGCAGGGGCAGGCAGGCTCTGAGCTGGGGCTTCTGAGGTGCCCAGGTCTGGGCACCTATGCGACTCTGCAGGATGTGGGGCAGAACACAGGGCTCCATCAGAAGCAAAGAGCCGGGCATCTTTCCAGAAAGCAGCTTTGTTTCCTCAGAAGAAGGGCAGCTCAGGTAGGAAAAGGCAGGAAAACTGCCTCCCGCTAAGAGCTCCAGCAATGGCTCTGCCATCATCTGTGGCCCCTGGCACCTCTCAGCCTCAGTTTCCATCTGCTTCTCACCTAGCTGGGGTGAAGTGAGCCTTCCTCCATTGCACAGCTGCTCACTGAGCACCTGCTGCATGCTGGGGAGACCGCAGCGCCCAAAGCAAAGTCAGTGCCTCCATGCAGCTTGCATTGGACTGTCTCTGAGATGATGTGCTTTGAGGAATTACCACGTAGTGGACGCTCTAGAGATGGTACTTGCTGTTTTGCTAGTGGAGCCATCTAACTTGTATGAATTCACCCTTTGATACTCAAGTGGTGACATTTATTTATTTATGTATGTATTTATTTATTTGGTGTTGGCTGTTGTTATTTTTTTTTTATTCATTTATTTTTGTTACAGATGTTTCTCCTTTTCGAGTGGTGACATTTAAATAGAGCAGGTGAGTCCTGCCCTCTCTTGACATTTTCTCCTTTGTGTGCCATAACTTCAGAGCCTGCCCCGGCTAAGAGGCTTTTGCCTCCCTCCAGCTCTTCAAGGGTGCCTTCTTCTGCACCAGAGCACCCCTGCAGCCAGGGTGATGCTGGGCCAGGAGGAACCAGCACCAGCCCCTGCTTTGCAGCAGCACGTCTGATGGAGACGCAGATGAGGACGCGACTACTGGCAGAATTGGGTTTCTTTTTTTAAAATTTTATTTATTTTTATTTTTTTGTTACAGATATTTCACCTTTTTTACCCCATTGGCACCCCCCTCCCCACCCCCCCCCACCCCATCCCCGGCTTAGTTGTCCATGTCCATTGGTCATACATACATGCATATAAGTTCTGTGGTTTATCTCTTCCCACCCCCCCACCCCCTCTTCTGAGGGTTGTCAGTCTGTGCCCTACTTCCATGTTTCTGGGTCTACCGTATTCCTCAGACTGTTATGTTCATTATATTCCGTATATAAGTGAGATCATGTGGTATTTGTCTTTTTCTGCTTGGCTTATTTCACTTAGGATAATACTTTCCAGGACCCTCCATGTCATCTCAAAGGATGAGAGATCTTTCTTTCTTACCGCTGCATAATACTCCATTGTGTATATGTACCACTGCTTTTTTATCCATTCGTCTACTGATGGACACTTGGGATGTTTCCAGATCTTAGCTATTGTAAATAGTGCTGCTATGAATATGGGGGTACATATATTCTTCCTGATTGGTGTTTCAGGCTTCTTAGGGTATATTCCTAGAAGTGGGATCACTGGGTCAAATGGAAGTTCAATATTTAATTTTTTGAGGTAACACGATATTGTTTTCCATAGTGGCTGCACCAGTCTGCATTCCCACCAGCAGTGCACTAGAGTCCCCTTTTCTCCACACCCTCGCCAACACTTGTTGTTTGATGATTTGTTGATGGCGGCCATTCTGACAGGTGTGAGGTGATACCCCATTGTTGTTTTAATTTGCATCTCTCTGATGATTAGTGATGTTGAGCATTTCTTCATATGTCTCTTGGCCCTTTGTATGTCCTGTTTGGAGAGGTGTCTATTCAGCTCCTGTGCCCATTTTTAAATTGGGTTCTTTGTCTTCCTTTTCTGGAGTTGTATGAGCACTCTATATATATTGGAAATTAACCCCTTATCTGATACATCATTGGCAATGATGTTCTCCCATACAGTGGGTTGCCTTTCCATTTTGATGACTGTTTCTTTTGCTGTGCAGAAGCTTTTTAGTTTGATGTAGTCCCATGTGTTCATTTTTTCCTTTGTTTCTGTTGCCTTAGGTGATGTATCAGTGAAAATTCTGCTCCGTATGATGTCCGAAATTTTGTTGCCTACATTTTCTTCTAGAATTTTTATGGAGTCACGGGTCACATTTAAGTCTTTTATCCATTTTGAGTTTATTTTTGTGTATGGTGTAAGTTGATGGTCTAGTTTCATTTTTTGCATGAATGAACTGTCCAATATTCCCAACACCATTTATTAAAGAGGCTGTCTTTACTCCACTGTATGCTCTTGCCACCTTTGTCAAATATTAATTGAGCGTATTGCCTTGGGTCCATTTCTGGGTTTTCAGTTCTGTTCCACTGGTCTATATGCCTGTTCTTGTGCCAGTACCAGGCTGTTTTGGTTACAGTCGCTTTGTAGTATAACCTGATATCTGGTATTGTGATCCCACCTACTTTGTCCTTTTTCAAGATTGCAGTGGCTATTCGGGGTCTTTTTTGGTTCCATATGAACTTTTGAAGTATTTGTTCTAGTTCTGTGAAATATGTCATTGGTATTTTGATGGGGATTGCATTGAGTCTATAGATTGCTTTGGGTAGTATGGACATTTTAATGATGTTAATTCTTCCAATCCATGAACAGGGTATGTGCTTCCACTTTTTTATATCTTCCTCTATTTCTTTTTTCAATGACCTGTATTTTTCTGAAAATAGGTCCTTTACTTCTTTGGTTAAGTTTATTCCTAGGTATCTTAATTTTTTTTGGCGCGATGGTAAATGGGATTGTTTTTTCAGTTTCTCTTTCTGTGAGTTCATCATTGGTGTACAAAAATGCCGTCGATTTCTTGACATTAATTTTGTATCCTACTACGCTGCCAAATTCATTTATTAAGTCTAGTAGATTTTTGATGGAGTCTGTAGGGTTTTCTATGTATAATATCATGTCATCTGCAAATAATGACAGTTTCACTTCCTCCTTTCCAATTTGGATCCCTTTTATTTCTTCTTCATGTCTGATTGCCTTGGCTAAGATTTCCAGTACAATGTTAAATAAGAGTGGCGAAAGTGGACATCCCTGTCTTGTTCCTGTTCTTAATGGAAATGTTTTTAGTTCCTGTCCATTGAGTATGATGTTGGCTGTAGGTCTTTCATATATGGCCTTTATTATGTCAAGATATGATCCCTCTATTCCCACATTGCTGAGCGTTTTTATCAGAAATGGATGCTGGATTTTGTCGAATGCTTTTTCAGCATCTATTGATATAATCATGTGTTTTTCTTTCTTCATCTTATTTATGTGGTGTATCACATTTATTGATTTGTGAATATTGTACCAGCCTTGCATCCCTGGGTTGAATCCCACTTGGTCATGGTGAATAATTTTTTTGATGTATTTCTGGATCCAATTTGCTAATATTTTGTTCAGGATTTTGGCATCTATGTTCATCAGGGATATTGGCCTGTAGTTTTCTTTCTTCGTAGTGTCTTTTTCTGGTTTTAGAATTAGAATTATGATGGCCTCATAGAACGTGTTTGGAAGTCTTCCTCCTTCTTGAATTTTTTGAAATAGTTTGAGGAGAATGGGTGTTAGTTCTTTTTTGAATGTTCGGTAAAACTCCCCCATGAAGCCATCTGGGCCTGGGCTTTTGTTTGCTGGGAGAGTCTTGATTACCTCTTCAATTTCCTTAGTTGTTATTGGTCTGTTCAAGTTTTCTATCTCTTTCCAGTCCAGTTTTAGGAGACTGTGTGTTTCTAGAAATTTGTCCATTTTGCTTAGATTGTCGAATTTGTTGCCATATAGTTGTTAACAATCTTTTGTATTTCTGTGGTGTTGGTTGTTACTTCTCCTCTTTCATTTCTGATTTTGTGTATTTGGGTTCTCTCTCTTTGTTTCTTGGTGAGTCTAGCTAAGGGTCCATCAATCTTGTTTATCTTTTCGAAAAACCAGCTCTTTGTTTCATTGATCCTTTGAATTGTTTTTTTGGTCTCTATGTCATTTATTTCTGCTCTGATCTTTACTATTTCCTTCCTTCTACTTGCTCTGGGGTTTTCTTTTTGTTTGCTTTCTAATTCTTTAAGTTGTGAGGTTAGACAGTCAATTAGAAATTTTTCTTGTTTTTTGAGGTAGGCCTGTAGTGCTATGAACTTCCCTCTCAGAACTGCTTTCGCTGCATCCCATAGATTTTGTGTTGTGTGTTCATTTTCTTTGGTTTCCAGGAAGTTTTAAATTTCTTCCTTGATCTCCTCGTTGACCCATTCATTGTTTAATAACATGCTATTTAGCCTCCATGTGTGGAAATGTCTTTGCATGTTCTTGTTACAATTGATTTCTAGTTTCATGCCATTGTGATCTGAGAAGATGCTTGATATGATTTCAATCTTCTTGAACTTGTAGAGATTTAGTTTGTGTCCTATCATGTGGTCTATCTTTGAGAATGTCCCATGTGCACTTGAGAAGAATGTGTATTCTGTAGTTGTGGGGTGTAATTCTCTGTAGATATGTATTAAATCCATTTGGTCTAGTGCTTCATTTAGAGTCTCTGTTTCCTTCTAATTTTTTGCCTAGAGGATCTATCCAGTGCTGTCAACGGGGTGTTGAAGTCCCCTGCTATGATTATATTGTTGTCGATTTCTCCTTGGAAGTCCTCCAGAAGATTTTAAATATATTTTGGTGCTCCTATATTGGGTGCATATATGTTTATCAAGGTTATATCTTCCTGTTGGATAGATCCTTTCAATATTATGTAGTGGCCTTCTTTGTCTCTTGTTATGGTCTTCATTTTGAAATCTATTTTATCAGATATGAGTATTGCTACCCCAGCTTTTTTTTGCATTCCATGTGCTTGGAAAATTTTTTTCCATCCCTTCACTTTCAACCTATGTGAGTCTTTTGTTGTGAGGTGGGTCTCTTGGAAACAATATATAGATGAGTCATGCTTTCTTATCCAATCAGCCACTCCATGTCTTTTTATGGGAGCATTCAATCCATTTACATTTAAGGTGATTATTGATATATACTTATTTATTGCCATTTTTGTTTAGTGTGGTTCTATTTTTCTTCCCATTTCTACTGCTAATTACAGCAGTCCTTTTAACATTTCTTGCAGTGCTGCTTTGGTGCTAATGTATTCCCTTAGCCTTTTTTTGTCTGGGAAGCTCTTTATTTGACCTTCTATTTTGAATGATAGCCTTGCTGGGTAGAGTAGTCTTGGATTCAGATTCTTGTTTTTCATGACTTTGATTACTTCATGCCATTCCCTTCTGGCCTGTAGTGTTTCTTGTGAGAAGTCAGCTGAGAGCCTTATAGGGCTTCCTTTGTAGGTAACCTGTTGGTTATCTCTTGCTGCTTTTAGGATTCTCTCTTTGTCTTTAATTTGTGGCATTTTAATTACTATGTGTCTTGGTGTGGGCCTGTTTGGGTTCTTCTTACTTGGGACTCTCTGTGCTTCTTGAACTTGAATGCCTCCTTCCTTCACCAAATTAGGGAAGTGTTCTGTCACTATTTTTTTGAATATATTCTTATCTCTTGCTCATTTTCTTCTTCTTCGGGGACTCCTATGATGCGAATATTATTACGTTTCCAGTTGTCCCACAGTTCTCTTAAGCTGTCTTCCTGTTTTTTAATAGTTTTCCCTTTTGTTTTTCTGATTGGTTGATTTTTTCTACCCTGTCTTCTAATTCACTGATCCGGTCCTCAGCTTCCTCTACTCTGCTTTTTAAACCTTCCAGTGTG